CAAAAGGATAGACATAGGCAGTGCACACATCAGCAGTTTATTATTGCAGATAATGAAGATTCTGGATGACTGGGTTTTGGTCAGAATAGGCATTGGAGTACTTGAAGAGTGTGAGTGTCATGATTATGATTTTAATCTGTCACATAATTATTGTTTCATAAGTCGTATTATATTAGTCGATTGCTAATTTGTTTACAAGTTTTCAGCATGTTTCCAGATTTTGACAAAGTCGTGTGACTGTTGTTGTGCCATACTTGGTGCCAACGTCTGTACTAATAATAGTTATTATTTCTTTTATTTCCATCTGTTCTCATTATGTAAATACTTTTGATAAGATTCTTGATTTTATATACTTAATTTGTACTAAGAACAGTCAGGGCTTTGGAAGATGATACAGCTTTAGTTGTAAATGGTACAACATTTCATACTATTTATAAGAGGCAATGTATTGCTATATTCCTATGTAGGGTAGCTAGTTAAAGATGTCAAGGCTCTTTATAAGTGTAATCTGATAAGGAAATTTATTTTTCTATTTATATATACACTCAATGGTCTGTAATTACTATTGTATTACCTGTGTAAGGTAGTGAATATAGGCTGGCATGATATTTGTGCCATAATTTTTTCTATAAGACACTTCATCATTAGTGTAAAGCATTCCCATTTAGTTGGTTTTGTTGTAAAAGTATTGTGAGGTGAAATTTGTTCAGTCCAGCTTAAATGGGGATTTGTTACACCACTGTTCAATGGGATGATTGTGTACTATGTTATATTCAAAGTTTTAACCATGCACCCCTCCTCATCAGTATCTTTGGGGTGAAGAGAAATTTAATATCTTCATAGCAAGGAGTAATATAGCTTGAACTTGTAGGTATATTAGGACACAGTATTATTATCTATCCCACTATTTTAATCTGTATTTGTAAAACGAATTATAATCCCAGCTACATATACTTAAACTGAGGGTTGCATGCTGAAAATGAACAAAAAATGTCCCTATGTGGTGATAAATATAGAATATACTTCAAGCTGAGCCTAATCAGGGAATGTGTGCTTCAGAACTAAATAGTCTTTTGTGTTGCTTGGGGAACTGTAAAACCCCAGAGATAGAAGGGCATGTATTGTAATCCCCTCCCCTAATACAAGTGCTATGTATCATCTCTCAAGTGAAATTTTCTAATGCTAAAAATAGAACAAATAATAGCATAGAGAATAAAGATCTATTTGTAGAAGTCATCCCCCCCCTTTTTTTTATAATTGTGTGTCGAGGGAAACTTCACCTGAAGACAAATAGTTTGCGAATGTAGAGTACAATATATATTTTTTTTAACAGTGTCTCAAAGGTGTACAGGTCGTCCCATGAATAATTTTAGTAAACAGTGCAAGGTGAAGTCCACTGCACAAATATAGTGACAGCCTACACTAATGTTAGTCATTTTTATTGTCTTCTGTTCCCAGCTTCGTGACATTCCTTTTGTTTTGTTCAATTTGTCTTTTTTCTCCTTTTTCTTCTTTGTTTATTGAAATATTATTATTTCTACATTACCTTCTTATATTGTTCCTGTTGCATTTTACTATATTATTTAATTTGTGACTTTTTTACCTCTTCCAATTATTTTATACTTGGTTCTTTATTCCCTTCCAGATTTGGCTTTATTTTTCATCTTTCGCAGTTTTATAGCCATTTACTATTCCAACTTATACTTTTTTACTTGTTTGGTTTTATCCAAGTTTTTCATCTTTTTTTATCTACTTTTTTTCTCTTCTGTTTTTTTTTATTAATATCTGCATACTCTGTTGCTAATACGTATCTTCATTGCTGTCTACCAGTTTATGTCAATGATTTCCCCCCAACCCAGAATATGTCACTAGCTAGAAGGGGTGCCTGAATTGTAGGTTTTCAGCACTCGGTATGTACTGTTCTGTTGACCATTCACGGGAAGAGATAACATAATGAAGTAGTCACTCAAGATGGAATTGCTTTTTATTTCAAGCACCTGAAATCTGCATGATGACATTTTACTCTAGTGAAATATTAAAATATGAAGGCACTTAGAAATTTCCCTAAATCAAGTCATAGTGAACTAAAAACTTTGTAGCAGAAAAAAGGAAACCTGTATCTAATGTGCAATAGAGTAGATGGATGGATATAAAAGTGTAAGAATGGGTCTTCTGGCAGATAAACAAATAGACAAGTATTGTACAGTAGTTTCTAATCAGATATATAGGTATGCACTAGTTGTTGAGTGATGCCACTATGCAGTTGATGGTCATATTGCATTTATTGTGACTGAATAGTGTGAGAGGTGCAATGTATGAGTATAAAAAGCATTCTTCTCCTGTCTTGAGGGTCACTGGTTTATGCCTTGGACAAACCCAGTCCACTCCACTCAGCTTTGAAAGGTTACCTATAATATTACAGTTGGGTAAATGAAGGATGCCAAGTGCAGTGCTATACATACTAACCCTTCCCCCCCCCCTTTTTTTGTACTGTAGGTTTAGTGTTGTGTATCCATACTGCTTTAACAGACCAGCAGACTTATGGAATCCACTCACACAATATGAAAATATCTTGATAAAATACCTTTTGAAAATTGTAAAGGTTTTGTCGGGGAGTCAAAAGTGGCCCAATTCTATTTTTGGAGGTTTCTGTATGTGTGTGTGTGTGTATGTGTGTGTAGAGGGCATTGATAGTACTGTGTTTACAGGCCCAGAAATTGGGGTCATATCGCCTTTGAACCCTGAAATGATCCCGTAAGATTTTTTTCCTCATTAAATTGACTTGAACATAGTTTTCCTTGCCATAACTTATTCAGATAAGGTCAACTGAAAAAAAAAGAAACAAATGACAGCAAATAAGCAGATGGCCTGTGACTGCCTCTTATTTCAACCAACCTGCACCATAACAAGAGAAGGCTTGCAAGAGTGAAAATAATCTTAATATAATACTGTACTATGTTTCATGTATTAATCATAGTTATAACAGATTTTCCCACTAAACAAAGGAAACTTGACACTGTGTACAGCTGCCTTTGGTAATTCATATTTCCCCCTTTGTTAAAGTCTTCATTTCCTTGGATTGTTCTTGAGCTAGATGTGGGAGCAGAGGAAAGATTTTAATTTAATTTATCATAAATGCTAATTGTCCCTTATAAAATTAAGTGGAATATCTTTTTTTTGGTAGCTTTAATGCTCAAGAATGGTTTATTAAATAAATATATCAGGAAAGAAACCCACTATTACTGGACTCAGTCTCTGTGCCCCAATTGATAATAATGGAGTGTTTAAAGGTATTGGTTATGTTAAGATAGGTTAGGTTGCATTACTTTAAAGTATACTGTATTTTTATGTCCATAAGAGCTAACCTTTATCAGTTGTGAATTCAGAAGAAACATACCTGTGCATGATGCCAGTCATTAAAGATTTGATCAGGTTTTATATAATTGAGTAGAACAGTAATCATCATCATCATATTATTATGTAGCATATTAATGATTACAGTACTAGTTGTATCAGAAAATTCCGTTCCCATCATTACAAAGTTTTTTCTTTCAATTAGGCCAACTTCACTTTAACCTCCTCCTAACTTCATTGCTCTCATCAAATTGCTCTCCATAACCCATGTCTCCCTAACCTGACCCCAGTCTTCTAACAATACTGACTTACCTTCCAAAACATTCCTCATAACTCAAACCAGAAGAATTATTATGAATAAAATATCTACTAATACAGTCATAGGGGTAAAGTATCCCTGAGTGGTGGTAGATATCATTAACACGGACTGATAGGGTTTATAAAAAAATATTCCAATTTTAATGGTGCAATAAGTCGAGGTTTTCCAGTGATTATAAACTTACAAATAATGGTAGTAGTCTGAACAGGACCTATTATTTGGAGGCATTGTCTGTGTCCATTATGTTTTATTCCCACTCCATAAAGTTTTAACCTTTGAAGATAACTCAACTAAATTTTATACATATACATATGCCATTGCTTGACTGTGTGTGTGTGTCTTTGCATCTTAAGACAAGATCATACATGAAATTGGACCATTTTTTGGGGGGGTGAGAGGTACAATTCGACTCTGGTTTCTGGAATATATTTAATGTATGTGACAATATGCAGAAGTGAATGTACTGTATGAATAGAATTATATACAAGGTTTGGATAAATTACTATATCTTCAAGGGTTTAAAAGTTGTGAAGTAGGCATGAAATGTTAGTGGCTGTGGATGGCGGCAGGGAAAATGTTTCTGCATAATTCATCCTGTCCAGATAGGTATACGATAGTCCCATTACGTATTACATAATTCTGCTCTAGCCATGTTTGTATTTCAGGTTTTTCTACTGTACTGAAATGTACATTGAAAAATTTTTATTAAGTGGCATTAGGAGGACCTCTGGTTACTTGTTCTACGCAACATAATTTATCTTTTTATATATGAAATTAATGATTCTTTTTAAGATGTGCAATATTCCAAATACAGGGTATCTTCTGTGATGTTACCATATGTAACTTAATAACACCCAATATTTGTCACCAGCCCACCTCTGTGAGTTTGTTTCATCACAGTCTGGTATTCGTCTTCAGTATGACAAATATCTGTATCAAGGCAAATTTCAGTAATCAACATTTCCAAGTTTATCTCCCAGAGGAATGGCCTTATATCATCTTGAAAATTTTGATGAGTACACACACCAAACAGCTGAAAAGTTTAAATTATTTTCAGAATACATGAATATTAATATCTTGAGTGTTGAATTACTTAATTATAGTTTTATATTTGAGATTTTCATGATGCATTCAAAGGAACTTTTAGTCATTTGTCCTTTGTAAATTGTGGCTCCCACATGAATGTAATTTATTTACACCAGCCACAGAAAGTCTTGTCCATTGAAGATATATTTAACAATAGATTGATAAGCTTTACCAGTTGGAAGCTTTATATAGGTCAAGCATATTATAATTCTGCCTTTAATTGAGAATCATGAGTTTTCAGTGTGAAAATATGGTATATGAATGCTGTACACTCATAACCCACGCAAGCGTGGAAAATGGCTGTAAAACGATGATGAGGGTGACTAATACATTGCTTATCAGTCAGGATGCATTCTTGGAAAAGTGAGTATTAATTGAATCTGTGTTAAAAAAGGTCATTATACCATTATACAGTATATTAGGAGTTGTGTTCCTGACAGCAATACATCTTATCTTTGATGCAATATTGCATATGAAGGCTTCATTGGGGTATTGCTAATGATAATGTAAATGGTAAACATTATTTCATAAATACAAATAAAAATTTGTATTGTAATAACGTGACAAGTATTAACAAATACTAATACTGTACTAGTAGTCGACATACCCAAGTACATATACTGCTCGAACCACGTCCACATGGTGCTCGCCTACCTCAACACTTAGATTAGCTTGACACGTTTGTCACATTTGCAGCTTTAGCACTTGCAGGCCTTTTTCCAGTCATTATGAACCTGAAGTGCTGACCAACTCACACAAAAATGAGAGAGAAAGAGGGACCAAGGCAGAGTAAACATAAATTTGCAGGCTGTGTTGTAAATGAGAACTGGAGGCAGCCATCTCTCATTCACCCAGAGCATACATTGCTCTCTGGAGGTGTTGAGTTTCCTCATGAAGTACTGTGTGTTCTCATGTGCAACTGTTAAAGTACTGTTCTGAAAGGAAATTTTTTTTTTCAATATTTTCTCCAGAACATTGAGGTCTATAAAGAAGCCGTGTTCTAAGGGTTATTGCTGAGTGAGATATGAGTGTGTGGGATGTAGATGAAATTTAATGCAGCTGTTTTTTTTTAAGTTCATCCTAAATATTAGTACTGTATACAGGGATTTTTTTTTATTTTAGCCAGAGTATTTGTTAATTATTATGTATATGTATGTAATTTTGTTGAACCTTATAATGTTTGTGAGCCCTTATGATTGATATGGAAAGGAAGAAAAATATGAGATGACCTTATGTACTTGGGTGTATGTGATCAGATATGTTTATGCGTGTAGATTAACTCTGTTTTAGAATGAGGTCATTATACCATTGAAATAATACAACAATTATAAAAGTTTTCTTATCTGAAGACTCTGCAATTGAAAATTATATTATTTCATTTTTTTGGACACAATAATATTTAATTCTACCGTAGAATGTCAAATTAGATAGGTAGCCTTTATGCAAGGCTGTTAATAGTTCACTGTACCTGCATGAGAAAGTGAAGGACTTAGACATTCTAACCATGACTTGTAATTTACATAGTACTGTACAGTATACTGTAGGAATATCATAATTCATTTGGGTACATTGGTATGAAATGGAAATTTTTTCTCTGATAACAATGGTAAGTTAATGACTGTTTCATATACACTTGCTTTTTCAAATTTCCTCTGGGTGAAACCAAGAGGGGACAAGGATTTACCCCCATTTATGTAAGGGTGTCTCGCTATAGACATCACTAATACAACACTGGCTAAATCCACTTTATTTTTTCGTTATTATTTTTATTTAGAACAATACACAAGGACAAAGAGGCATGTGAAACATTTTTCTACATCCGGTGAGATGATTGCTTGACACATTTTGCATTACCGTTGATAATCATCCAACATACAAAGGCTAAATCTACCTCTGATTATTGTCACAGTTAAGGGGCATTGATGCATGTAAAGTAGCTTTTGATGATAAAAGATAAATGTTCAGCAAGCATCTAATAGGTAGAGTATTTATTTTGCTCTAGTTTTTATTGTGTTATTTATTTTGCTCTAGTTTTTGTTCTGTTTGTGTTTAATGAAAATATATAATATATATATATATATATATATATATTTATTTATTTATTTCTGAATACAGTACAGAGCAGTGCAAGTAATTTTTTTATAGCTAAAAGCACCTGACACTGAATTTAACTTTTTGTGGCATTGGTGCACATTTCCTCTGAAGTGTGACTCATCAGATTACTATAAATAATCTTAAAACACACTATTATAGATTCAAAAGTTTTTCATTGGTAACTAAATATGGAATAATGTCCTGTTAAACAAGCAAGAGAAGCCATATGTTTTATACACCATATATTAAAGACAACAGCAGCAAAGAACAACTAAAGAGTTATTCTTTGGCAGTTTTCTTCTGTCTTTCAAAGTTTGTATTGCCATGTATTAGGCAGGAAAAGTTTTTTATTTTAAGCTATAATCTTTTAATTATGTATGAAGTCAACAAGAGTACGATCCAAATATTCACTAGTTTTTATTAGTTTTGCATTTTATTATAGATCAGGATATAACAGTTTGGGGATAGTGACTCAGTACCAAACAACACTAATGTTGCTCATAAAGTACCGGTAATCTTTTTCAAGTAAGTATATTATGATAATGACAAAAATATATTTGCTAGATTGTGAAGCTAAATTTTTATTGAAATAATAGATAATGAATACTGTACCCAGGCATTTCAATTTATTTTTTAACACTTCTGTATTAAACATGCCATTGTTTGGTTTGTGTATACAGGAATCAACATTAAGTTGTATGATAACTACAAATTCACACTCGGCACATGAACACTGTCACAAGGAAAAGAAAGCTGATATGTCATGTTATCTTCTTGATGAAGTCTGGAAACATTGCTTCTCTTCTCTTGTGAGACTTGAGTGTGCTGATGTGTGATGCTGGGATGTATGGAATGATGAGGGGTCATGCAGATTGACTTAGGTTTTTGTTAAGGGGAACGCCATAACAAAATACCTGTACTGTACAATTGTTACAACATTTATTATTAATGACAAAAAAAAGGAAGCTGTGTTGTGCCTAATTCCAGCCACACTGCACTGCACCAGTAGAGGAAGGGGCTCACAAGAATGGATAAGTTTAAATATTTGTTTGTCATTCCACTCTCTTAACTGTTAAAAGATTCTGTGATATTAGAAATGTACATTGATATGGCAAATATAGTTTTGCTGTGGGACTTACACTAGTACAGTTTACCAATTCTTAGCAAATTTTAAATGACAAGGATAATTGCTATCAACATTCAAAATAACTTTTCAGTTTAAGTCTTCTTAAAATGCTGGCAAATTGGTAAGAGACTTAACACACATTAAGACATTTGCATCATGTATACTTCACAACATTTCTGCATTGAGTTACACAACACCTGATATGTAATGTCTACCTTCTAATGGTGTACTAAGAGTGTAAGATCATTTCTTTGGTGTTTCCTTTGAAAATGCTATCATCAGTTGAATTGTAATGTCATATCTTCTGAATGAATTAGAAGAGAATGAGATTAACTTCATTGGAGTTTCTTTGAAAAGTACCATTAGTTGATGTATATTCTTCTTAGCGGTTTGTTGCTGAGCAGTGCTAGATGAATGGAAAGCATAAATTAACAGGGGCAGACTTTGAAAGCCTGTACAGAGCATGCATTGATATATCTAACCTAGAATTTGATCAAAAAAGTGTATTTAAAAACAACACATATCTTTTAAATTATTTGTCAAAACATTTTAAATATACTTTAACCATATTTGTTCATTTCTTAAAGAAAATACTGGAACTTTTATCTTGCCATGTACAGCATTTTTCATATATATATATATATATATATATATATATATATATATATATATATATATATATATATATATATATATATATATATATATATATATATATATATATATATATATATATATATATATATATTGCATGGTAAACCAGGTACAATATATTCTTTGTGCAATGTGCGGTATTCTTCTTTAAAAAAATAAGTTATACATAAATTCAATTATTGGGTACAGGGATTTAAAAAATTTACAATGTACATTTTCCTTTATTTTATCTAGGAAGCCTTAACCTGCGATGGTTTAGGGTGGCTGGAATTTAGAACAAATGCTGCCTCTCCCTTCAGCCATTTTTGAATTGTGAATTTTTTTTTTGTTTTTAGCTGTACTACTTCCAAACTCAGCCATGACAGAAACTTGAGCTCCCTACATTGGTAAGCATGGCCAGCTGTTTATGCTGCTCTCTCTGTGTTGCAGGTCCAGCACGGAGAAGAAGGAGGAGGAGGAGGTGGATGTCCCAGCTAAACGTTGTCGTCTCTAGCACTGTCAGGTGATTAACCACTTAGCACGGCACAGAGCTCGTAACTTTCTTACGTCGATCAAAATACACAAGATGTAGAGCCCACTATATTCTCAGCACAAAGTATGCTGGAAGTTAGTCCCAAAGTTCTGAAGAAAAGTTTACTCGTATGTATGTGTAAAATAGTACCGTATGTTAAGAAGATATGACATTCCAACAACTTTTGATTATTTTAAAGGATTAGCCCATGTATTTAATGTTAAAAAATATGTTGAAGAACTCATAGAAATGTGTATAATATTATTGTGTTTTGTAATGTGGAACAATAAAAGATGAGTGTTAAATTATTTAACTCATGATTACAATTATCATGGAACTTAAGTGTTGAATAATGTAGGGTGACACTGACAATTAGGGAAATACTGTACAGTATGTACTGTACAGGACTGTAGTCACTCAAACATAAAGATTGAAGTGTCATTATGAAAACAAACAAAGCAGATAGCAGTTTGATATTTGCTAAACATAGGGTGCTCCTGTTGTTCATTTCCATCATAATTTCAAATTTGTGTTTGTTGCAAATCATAAGAAAATATAATTGTTGTGATGTTAGGGCTTACCATACTTATCCCAGGGATGCTTAGATCATTGCTAGAATAACTGAAGTCACTTCTTTAAAGTGACAAAATGAAACAGTTCACACAATAATATGCGCAATAGAAAAGGGTCATACAGTCCAGCTGAAAAGGCATGGAGTTATATACAGTAAGTGAAATCTGCACTTGCCTAAATCTTTACTAGTGTGCCACGTTTCCCTATGCTCACTTGGCCATCATCAGTATTGTGAATGCTAAAAAGGACAGGTTTTTTAACCCCTTGAGTAGGGAGTCCTCTCTGAGCTAAAAAAAAAAAAATTACTGGCTTTAGTGTCCCCATTGTGCAGGTGCAGGTGTACTGTATGAGCCAAATATCAATACATATTAATAAAGAGTTTTCTGGCAGTCAAAAATATCAAGTTGCTCTTCTCTTTTTTTTTTTCTAAGAATGTATCAAGGTATGTGTAATACTTTCTTGACTTGCAAACCCATTCTTTAGAAGTATTATTACTGATATCCTCTTTCCTTGCAATTTACTATAAATTCACTTTCTAGAGACTTTTGTATCATTCACTTCACCTGTGATCAGGACTAAGCCAAAGTGCCCCTAAAGTACAGTCACAAACAAAAGTCCTGTTGGTCCACAAACCCCGAGATTCAGATTCATGAATCCAAATCATCTGGATAACGCATCAGTGTCTATTGCTTCAGGTTCAAGAGTCTGAATCTTGGAGTTCGTGAAGCAGCAGGAGAGGCGACAGGACTTTTGTTCAGAACTGTAGATACAGTATTTCAGAGTAGAACTCCATTTTTTTAGACCACAAACCTTTAATTTAAAGAAAAATGCTTAAAGCTAAAGAGTACTGCACTCAGCTTATCACAAGTTTGAGGAGGTTTCATTTCAAATAATTAATGTAAAATACATGTCCTTCATGACCCCTGTTAATTTATTTAATGAAAACGTTAGTGTTTTAAATGCTACTGGGGATTAAACAAGTAAGGGCAGCCTACTAGATGTCTGTACAGTGTATGCATAGAGGGCACTTTGAGTAAGTGGATCTCTTAAACTCAAAGTTTATGATCCTTTTTCTCAAAACCTTGTTTTTATTAGATGATCCAGGGGATTCTCATTAAGGAATTGAACATTGTTTAAGACCTGTCTGGAAAGTATGAGACTTAACTGTGCCAAGCAATGTGAGGTGTGACTTCATTGGTCAGAGTTTAGGGCCTAAATAAACTCACGGAAGCTGTCTTATGCACTACAGGTAGTAGGTTTTACGGTTTTCCTTCAGTTATGATTAGACACTCCAGATGTACTGTATGAGTAAGTTGCCCAATTGACTTTCAACTTCCTGGTATTGTGTACCCTGTTACTGGTAATTCTGGTAATGAGTTTCATTTTAAGAGAAACATTGGTCGTTGCAGCAAGTCACTGATAAATGTTGGAGATGTGTTCTAGAAGTTTTGACACTTGTTTTTTTTTTCATACAGTTAGTGGTAAGATTGCAGAATGGATTCTCAGGCCAAATTTTTGGACCCCTTAACCTCATTTAAATTTAATTTAAGAAAATTTTTGACAAAAATTCAACAATTTAATACAGAACACAAATCAGATGCATAAATAGACATTTAAGTGAACATGGATACTGTATTGTACTTGCCAAAGTAAAACTGAGATTATGTACACCTTGGCAGGTGTAATTGCAGGATTACAGTACTGTACTTGCAGAATATTTACCATTCACATTTAAAGGGTCTTTTGAAAAACTGAAGCAAATTCTTTAACGGAGTGCAGCTTCAAACGCTCCACTATCAACAACATTGCCACTTGACATTTTGGGTACAGAGGTATAATACAGTACTGTACACAGTTTGAATTTTTTTAATGCTCACTATGGCAAAAATTATGTTTTATTGGACAGGCACAACTTAATGATGTACAGGTATCCCTCGCTATACAAATAATCTTTATCCAAATATTTGCTTATCTGAATGCTCGATTCTTACATCTCACCTTGCTATCTGAAGATGACATTTGCTTCTATGAATGTTGGTCCAGACAAAAATTTAAATTGTGTGTCAGTTGTGGCCTGGGAGTCAGCTGGGCAGCCATTTTTCTCCATTATATGCGCAAGAATGTGCTCTCGCTCAAGGCATCTGCTGTCATCCCACATCCTTTGTGTTCACTGCAAGTAAAGTGTTCTCTCTTTATCCAGCTGCATTCCTTTCGTGAATTTGTACACACTGGCATCCAAATGTAGTGGTGATTCCTCTGTTCCCCCCTTCCTACCCCTTGCCAAGAGACCCCACAAGCCTGTGTTGCTTGAAACCAAACTTGAGATAATCAAGCATCAGGAGCAGGCAGGGGAAAACCCTAACATAAGGCAGTGTACCAACTGTATATACCTGTGTTTTTTATCTTTTTTTTTTTATTGGTATAATTCCTAAAATAATGTTTTGGTAATTGTGTACAGTATATATTTTTTTTATCAGCCACCAAACCCTATTTTTTGCATTTATTAATTGCTTCCCAAATACAGGTACAGTACAGTATTCGATAACTGAAGGGCTTTCAAAGAATGTAACCTATTATAGTTCAGAATTCCTGTATAAAAAAAAATTTCCCTTGTTTTTTAACAGCATTTTACTGAAACAACACAAATAAAACCAATGTAAATTGGTAACTTGCTATGTAAACCCTGACATCATGGCAAAGTTCTACTCATGATATGCAACCCTTAACAACCCATAGAAATTACTTTCACAGATTGAAACTTTTCTTTATGTTCACATCATTATATAAATGCTCTCTTTAGTCTTAAACTGGAAGTTAAGACTTTTTTTATTTTCTTGAATAACAATGAATTTGGGGCTCCATGGATCATCTGGTAGTTGCTCAGGTCTTCCAGGTTATGAGTGCAAGGTTTGATCCAATGGCCAGGTGTGGTTGGTAAGGCATTATTCTACTGTGATGGCCACCAACTGCCAGTGCCCCAGGCTAAACCAATACTTCTCACCTGGTTACAGTATTACCATCCTGCAGTGTTGGAAATATCATAAAAGATGTCTAACTGAAGAGTTACATACTGTAATTTTTATTTTGTATTTTTCTCATGTAACTTACTGAAGATGTTAGTATCTTATTGAAATACAGTACCGTACTGTACAGTATTTTACTTAGACCTCAGATAGCTTATAATATTAATTTATGTGCAAGTAGAGCATAAATTTATCCACAAAGAAATAATTTTGACTTTTGGAGGATAGTCCATATCCTGACGTCCATAGTTATTTTATTCTGAGATTATGATTCTTTTCGACTTTTGGATAAGATGGTTGTCACTAAGTGTTATAAAGTAGTTACTGTACAATATTTCTTTAGGGATATTTATACTTTCAAACAAATGTGGACATTTTCTGTACCCTGCACAGTATTCTTGGGCGAATTCTGTCTTTGTATAGTTATAGTTTATCTTGTTTTATCTACTTTATGTGAAGCATTTTGTTTTCATCCCCCTCCTCCACAGTATAAACTTATATGTGCCCAAGACTCATTAAAATAATGTTATAGACTCATTAAAATAATGTTATTGAGTCTAGTGATGACCGATGTATGATCTTCCATAACATGTCAGTATATCAGAGATATTTTCATACCCCTTATATTACAGCATTATAGATCCCCTTTGCATTTCCCGTCAGGCCTTATATTCTTAATAATTGCCACAATACTCCCCAGATAAGTCATGAACCATTTTTAGCTGTAGATAACTAAATATTGCATACATAACTAATCTCCTTTCACACTTACTGTACTACCATTGCTTTGAAGATGAGATTTTCTCAGTAATGTCCGTCCATAGAAACGCCTAACATTTTTATAGATCTGATTTATGCAAGCATTACCTCCCACAAGAACTCCTTGTTCATCTTTAATATCTTTACTTGTATTGTACCTGTAATTCTCTCTTTCCTATCTGCTTAAATCTGTTCTATCTAGTTATTTATATACATTTTTTTCCCCATCAATGACAGTCAGTCCTGCAGATAACATAGCTTTTTTACTACCCTAAACATGTGGTACGTAAAACCTAATAATCCGGTATTTGTATAATTTCTCTCATTGTGCTGCACAGGAAGTCCCCGACTTATGAACGTCCAACTTATGAACGCCCGCCGATAAGAACGGAGTTAAACTTGAAATTTACAGTAGTACTGTATTTTATTTACCTGATGACTTAGTTTTTACTTTCATTTACTGTATTTTGTCAATGTATTTCTTCTTTTGTCTTAAATTAATTGATTTTAGATGTTTATAAGGACTTAGGCTATGATATAGTGGGATTTTAAACATTGTTCTGTAAGTATGGTATGTATATAGCATGTGTTCCAACTTACATACAAATCCGACTTACGAACGTCCTCAGGAACAAAACCCGTTCGTAACCCGCAGACCCCCTGTATTAGGTTCTGATAACTCGACCCTTTACCATTAGTTCTCCATTGTCATCAACTGATTTTTAACTTACCTGCATGTGGTACAGAAGAGTTTATGTTATACTCCTGGCTTCATAGTCATTGCCATTTGCAATGTTAAACTTTTACAAATACCTGTACAGTACTGAAAGTTTATTAATCTGTCATATTTTGGAAACCCTGTACCTGTACAGTACTAAGTCTCTGTATCAGAACCGACAAAACCTGGGATTTTCTAGGCAGGTTTTTTATGCCAGATTTGCTGTAAATTTCATTGTGTTAACTGTTTAACAAATTTGATTATGGCAATATAATGTACAGGTGTTAAGCACTATTCAGTACAGTAGTACATGTACAGTTCTTTGAGGCATGTCAACACAATTTTTTATCAGATTACAAATAGTACCCTGTAGCTATTTGGAAGCCAATTTTCTGTCTTTTAATTTCCAGAAGCTGTAGTTGGTAAAAGTGTACTCAAGTAAATTTCTTAACAACTCTGATAAAGGGCAGGTGTTTTCTTCAGATTTACAGTGGGAAAGTGCGTCTTTTTTTTTATCTTTGAAATCGCCAAGACATTATCAATGTGGTAACATCTGTATGAATTTGATTATGTTGACACATTGATAGAGTGCTAATTCAGATTATTATTTTGGCAGCCATTTTTCTTTCATGGAATTTCCATAAACAGAGACTGTTGTTAAACAGATTTTATTTATATTTGGCACATTTATAAAGTATTTCAGTATAATACTGTATGTACTGTGATGCATATTGTAGTTATGCAAGTTAGACATTACTTTTTCAGGTGTGATAGATTAAGGAAGTTATGGTATATTGTACTTATTGAATCCTCCCTGAAGGGTAATGCTGTACTTCTGCATAATTGACAGAGGCTAATAAATGAGTTAAGTTTTCCTGGTAAACCATGGATAAGAAAAGATATTTAATGTACTTGTGATAATGTGTAGGTGCTTGCCTTCCTTGTGTAGACGTTGTAAATACAGTACTGTACAGGTATAAAGGAAGATTTAAAATGAATGAAATTCCACGAATGAGAAGTGCAAGATATGGAGGAGAAAGAGGCTGGACTCTGACTAAAGAACTGTACATGGAACACAGTGAAGTATATCAATGAATGATGTGTATTGCAACATTGACTGAAAGGAGGGGGATGGTGGATAGGATTTCACTGGCGAGCTGTGCAATACCTCACTTGTATTTAATAAAATAAATGTTTAAAATAAAAACACAGTATACTTAAAATCCTTAATTTCATTATACTGTACTTTATTACATGACCTTAATTGATATTTCTCCATTAGGTACTCATGCAAGTACTGTACTGCATATATACAGTAGATAGTATTAAAGAGGTAGTAAGAAAAAGTTAAGAAATGGTCGGCTAGAATGGAGTCAAAGGATATGAAAGTAAATGGAGGCAAAACCAAAGGTAATGGTCATTAGTGTGAGAGAAAGTGGTCATTTGCTGTGTGTAAGAAGGGTGTTAGCAGTAACTCAATAATGTGCAGTGAGTATGGAAGGTGAGTACACAAGAGATGCAGTCATATTGCTGGCAGACTGCAGGATGTTACTAACTTTAATTAGCCTTGACAAAGGTAAAAAAGCTTGACATTGGGATATGTACAGTATATCCCTGGATTGTGCATGTGAGTTTTGCTACCTGGGTGACATGATCCATGCTGGAGGTGGTGCCAAAGCTAGCTCAGTTGCAAGAGTCAGAAGTGTCTTAAGAGAAGTTTAGGGAGCTGTTGCCTATATTGATGGTGAGGGAACCTACTTTTTACTCAAAAGGAAAGATGTAGCAAGCATGATCAGCATGGATGTGCAGTACAAAGTGATAATTAAGAAATATGAGACCCCGTTCACAGCTAAGAGAGCAGCTGGGTATTAAAAGTACTATATGGGCAAGGATTTGTACAAAGGTAACCAAGAATGATAGGGAATATAAGAGAATAGAGGAGACCATTTTGGCCAAAAAATGCATGAATTTAATGTAGCAGGATAGAGAACTCTGGGAAGGACAAGAAGGTCATTGGGAAGTGTAAGAAATGACCTCAGGGATAAGAACCTGATGAGGAAGAATAAGAGACCATGCAGCAAGGAGAGCTGCCATCAGGTAACCCACCCACTTAAATGAAGAAAATAACTGTAAAACATCAGTAGTGATTCAGTAAGTTAATTATTTTCTATTTTTAGTTTTCTTTTGTGAATGTGGAAGTAAAAATTTCTTATAATATCTCATATAGAGTACAGTATTACTCTATATTATAATACACTGTATAATTAAGATACCATAATAATTTGTTTGTAAAATGAAATACTTCATTATTAAAAAATATTTTTTATTTTATTTAGATTTCCTATTATAAGTTGTCATAAAGCATATATTTCAAATAACAAAAAGTATATATTACACAGAAGTAAATTTAATGACCTGTACAAAGTGATAAGTAGATGTACTTTGAATTATTGTCTTTTAATGTCAAATTTTAAACATTGCAGATAAATTTAATAATTTCCCAGACAATTCTTTAATTACAGTATGTACAGTACTTCAAAAACTATCCAATAAATCATATCCATTTACTTTATATCTGTACACTGTATACTGCTACAGTATAGCCAATACTGTACAGTAATTAGGGGTATAATGTCTTACCATATCTTTTATAAAGAGTAATCCACCATACAATAAATGACAAAAAAATCAAACAAACAAATCTTGTGCAAGAAGCCACTGCTGAAAACTGATGAGGGTACTGTACATTATTAGTGAGGGTCACACTGTGATCCAAGGTGCAATGGTCTATCTACCCAAATTCTCAGAATAATTACTATTATTCATCATCACTAATTATTAAGCTGATCCTGGTGATATAGAACCTAATTATTTTTAATAAAGTATAATTCTTTTCTGTAGAACTGCAAATACTGTAAGATATACACTCAAAGCCAATCAAAATAGATATGTACTGTACTGTACTGTACTGTACTGTACTAATTTAAAAAAGCCTGATTCACACCAATACTTACAGATCACCAAGAAATGTTTTTAGTAAGTCTCTTCCCCCTTAACTGCAAGGAATCATAAATGAGCATAATTACAAAATCTCTTTAACTATGAAAAGAAATTTACTATGGTGTATTTTCAGAGATACAACATTGTAAGTTGCTCTTTTCCCTGGTACTGTATATCCATCTTGCTGCCCATGTACAGCACTGAAATGGGGTTTACAGTACTGTACCTGGTTAACAAGGAAGGGTCAATGGGAGGAGTTAAACAATAAGGTGTATGAGACAAATCTGGATAAATTACACAACATATGGCAGTGGGAGCTAAGAACATCCAATATTTCAACAAGAACAAAATAGTAACAGCTGGAGAAAGATACTCAGTTACTCTCATCAGACTCTGAATCAGAATATGCCCCTAGGAATGACAACCCACTAGGACCTTTTGATACAACATTCTGTACCTCATCTTTTACCACAGATGTACTAGATGAAACTTTATCAACACTTTTATCTGATGATGATAAAGGAACTACCGGCTTTGATGTGTTCGGTAACGGTACATCTGTTAATTTAGTTGATTTGGGTCCTTTAGGTTCATTTGTGCTTTTATCCCTTTTTGTTTGTGAATCTTTAATTTTAATCATGCCTGCCAGCCTAGATTTCATGTTACCCTTTTTAAATTTATCTCCAACACTCAGCGAAGAACTTGTAAGGACATCGGTAACTTTGGTATCCTTTTCTATTTTGATTTTCTTCTTTAGTGGTTTTTCTTCCTCTAATTCTTCAGGAGCAACTCTTTTTACCATTTGTCCTTCTATCATTTCATAACCAAGTGCTTGTAATGCTGCTAATCTTTCTGCTTCCTCCACTTGTTCCTGTGTCATCTTTCGTTCAGTTTCGAACTTCTCTGCAATTTTTCCAAGATCAATACCTGCATGCCGATCATTCATTTCACGTAGATCTTCAAGCGACTCCAATACTTCCATCTCGTACTGGGATTGTTGAGTTCGGTTTTCTAACAGCAACATTGGGTTGGACTCGATCTCCTCCCTCGCTTCACGCTCCTCTCTCGCTGCTTGTTCCTCTGCCAACTTTAATGCTTGGAAATTGCGATGAGCACCAGCCTCAATGACATAATCTGTGCTCTCTGGATCTGTCCTAAAAGATATTTCAGCAAGACATCCTGGGCACTTTATGTAGAAACGATAGATTCGAACACCGAGATAAGTCATGTTTTCTACATCCTCTTTCCTGGCATTAAATTTCTTTCCTTTGGCAATATATTCCCCACATGTATAACATTTGATATTGCAGGGAACCATCAACCTCACAGTAAACTGGCGATTCCTTGGACATCTTGCCCTAGGAATTTTAGATGGGTCAAAGTCTGGAGGATAGTATTTGTTAAGGACTTTACGTTCAGACATTTTTTCACCTTAAAATGCCACGTACGGCAACGTGATCCTCCTCTTAACAAGCAAGTGTGATCAGCAATACCTAACAGCTGGCATGCGAAATGATGTTGATAGATGAGTTACGCAGCATTAGCAATATGCAGCCAATAACTCCCCCAGATGACACAAACACTACGTCAGCCTCACCACCAACACCTCCGGATGTGTTGGCTCATATTATATTCTACGATTATGTCAATATAAGAATCAAATGTATCCAAAAGCATATATAACAATCTATATCTCATATAATTACAATTTAAATCATAACTATTTACCAACATTATAGTTCAGACAATTGAAAGTGAGTTTGTGAGAGAGTGGTGCAGGGGTCGGGACAAGTTGAGTCGCGCATGGTCACAACACAAGATGGCGACTCACTGACCGCGGCAAAACGTTTAATAGCGGCGTCCATCACGAGGCCATGAGAGGCGGCTCACTGCACCGCCACCGAGATGGTAAGGCCTTATACTGTTTCATTAATAAACAAAATATACAACCATAATTTTCTTTGTAGGGTAAACTAGGTCATAAAGTGGAGTGGGAGGGAAGGTAGAGGCAAAACACCGCCAACATAAAAGTGAGCCAAGTGTTTCTTCTATCGTAACGTGGACTAATTATCAGTAATTTAGTAGTTATCGAGCACAGTAATGCTGTTACCTTAAATTAACAATTATTATGTGAGATATTACATGCCACAATGTGATGCTGGAGCTGTCAGGTGTTTTGGTTGTGTTGACTAGAGAAAACATGTCAATTATTGAAAATAGGGTATTAAAGAGAACATCGTAATGTAATTTCGGTTAATATATAGGACTAACCCATGAGCTAGTCATTTTTCTTACTGTTTATTTTCTTACATTATTTTCATCGGTGAGTTCTGATATGACAATCATTTATTGTGGAACCCGCAACACAGTAAATCACTCCACCTCCCGGGCTGCCTAGAGCTGATACACCATATCATATCACGTCCAGAAAATGCCTCAAATTTCACCATATCATTTTACTTTACTTTTTACTCTTATCCTCTTCGCCACTGATCGGCTCGTTAGCCGCTTGGGCAATCGGTCACGTCTCTGTTGCTTTTATTTTTCTTATATCCTCTTCACCTATTGATCGGCTCTGCCCCCCGGTAAGGAAGTTAGGTAAGGTTAGGTATGTTTGTTTGGTTAGGTTGGTTAGGTCTTTTTCATACCCGCAAATGTTAAATAGCATTTATTTTTTAAATATCCATTTTTTTTCTATATTTCCACAAACTACAACATTGTCCACTATAATATAACAGTGAAAATCCGGTGTTTTCATAATTTTTTCCCATAAATTTTGCTCACTGTTGAGTCCTATATAATTACCGTAATTTCTGAGAACACCATTACCACTGGAAGAAGTTGATCGATTTTTTTATTTTTTTCTACAGATGTTCTTATCATTATAGTTAGTATTTTAAAAGATGTGACAACTTTCTATTTCAATTATAAGTATTTTTGTTTAGTGTTTCTCTATCTAAGATCATAAATTACTTGTAGTGGGCAGGGTATGAAGGATGAGGAAAATTGTGGGGTAAAACACAGTAAGGAACTCATCATATGGCACTAAAATGATCTTTCTACGTACTTTGTACGTGAAGAAGTTAATTATTTACCTTAAATACGGCTCCTAAAAAGCTGCAGTCAGCGTGTGTTGTCGTCTGCTGTTTGTTTAAATCCAACCTGCACAGTCCAAGCGTAGTCTCATGTCCACAAAAATTGACAAATTACACCATGACGCTTCAACAAAGTTGCTTTCATTGGTACCAGATATCAAAATAAGTACAATAATTTCTGTTTAATATGGCAGGGGCTCCACCTCCCAGCTAGGAAGTTAGGTAAGGTTAGGTAGAATTCTTTAGTTGGTTAGGTCAGTTTCTAGTAAATGTTGCTTATTTTAAAATATTTACTATAATGATAAGAACATTTGTGGAAAAAATTAATGAAATCAAACAACTGTTTCTAGTGGTAATGCTGTTCTCAGACATTTCCATGAAATTTACAAGAACCTAATAGAGCATGATCTAACCAACCAAAGAAACCTACCTAACCTTCCCTAACTTCCAAGCCGGGGGTCAGAGCCCCAATATATTAAACAGAAGGTACTTATTTTGATATTTGGCACCAATGGAAGCAACTTTGTTGAAGTGTAATGGTGTAATTAAATTTTTATTTTGTGGACGTGAGAGTACGCTCGGATCAAGCGGGTCAGTTGTAATTTTTTTAAACAAATTTGGTAGACAACACACATTGACTGCAAATTTTTTGGAGCAATATTTATGATAGTTAATTAATTTCTTCATGGACAAAGCACATAGAGACATAATTTTAGTGTCATGATTAGTTTTTCCACAATGTTTTACCCCACAATTTCCCTTATCCTTCATGCATTGCTAATATATATATATATATATATATATATATATATATATATATATATATATATATATATATATATATATATATATATATATATATATATATATATATATATATATATATATATATATATATACAGTATTTATTTATGCTTATAATTAAAGTAAAAAGTCGCTCTTATTGCTTGTGAATTGAGTCTACCCACTCAGCGTCCCTCTTACTTATCATATCATAACATCATAATCATATATTTTGCCACCATTTAAACACTTATAATATCTATTTAATTATCAATTTCCATGGTACTTCTGGTTGGGCTTATTGCCGGAAGGGGCTGCCTAGATAAATTATGACCATAATATATTCGCTAGCTATTTCATGAGCCTCATCACGCATCTCGCCAAGGCATAACTCTCACCAATATGTCAAGGGTTTGAGCCTCGGCCCAGACACACATGAGAAGGGTGCTATCCAGTGTGACCCTCACTACCAAACATCACAGGTTTCCCGGTCCCCGGTTTCCTCCTGTACTAACACTGGATAGAGCGCCCAAATGGCTAGTAGCTGATAAGTGGCCAATACGATATAACAAAGCGTCACCCAGGTGTGATTGCTCATAAAGTTTTTCTCTTTGGTCGAATTTAACCACAATCATGAGCCCTAAGAGGAAATTTAGTGACAGTGCGCGTGAGAATCATAAAAAAGTGCTTACTATGAGAAGTTTGGAAGAAAAGGTCAAGATACAGTATTAGGCTCACCTTTTGCTCAGTAAATCATTTAACTCAGAACTACATTGTTTATATGGAAGTTTGGTGTTAATAAATCAATTGTTTAATTTAGAAACCATTTATAACAAACTTATTTATTATTGCTTTATTATTAGGGAGTACAGTAATGTACTACTGTACTCATTGTTTTAGCGCCCTGCCATTTGAACCTGTTGTTCGTCCACTGTGTTATTGTTATCCCTCGTTTAATGATAATTTCACTTGACGTTAGGTTTTCAGTAACGCAACCCCATTGATAAACAAGGGATATCTGAATTAAAGACAACTTTCTTATCGCTCGACAACTGCAAATCGATTTCAGGTTTGCTATTTTCTCTTTTAGTATTGTATGTGTCAGTGTTAGTCTTTTATTTATTTTGTATTTTACATAATCAAAACCTTCATTTATGTTTCCAGAGCTTGGATCGTCCATGCGCACACTGCAGAGAAGGACGTGTGCGCCCCTTTCAATTTTCTCTGGAAGAAGCAGTGTTGCGGTGTGACAATGTGGAATGTGACTCCCTATTATTGTCATCACCATGGGATTGTGTAATTACTCGGAATATAAGGGTGCAGAACGCACATCGATCATCATATTTGGGTAAGTTTTTGTCAGAATTACTAACTACTGTATAACTACTGTATAGTACTACTACTTTGCTGTCACGGAATCCTAACCTAACCTAACTATAGTACACACACACACACAATGCAAAGTTATTAATTATTGTGAATACGTATTTCTGAACACAATATGTAGGCAAATTAACAGTGTTCTAGATCTTTAGATATTAGTTGAGTTATGTTTCATACATGAAAAACAATGCCTTCACATGCACAGAAAAGTTGAAAGAAACTTCACATTATATATATCTTATATCCCTGGTGTAACATTTGCCATCTATCAAGCTCTTCGGAAACCCTTTAATGTACTGTCACCCTCACATTGCTTTTATTATACCGGTACAGGTATATGTAATGTACTTGTGAACGCTCATAGGAGCGTTATTGGTTTGTGCTGGATAATAAGACCCTTGTCATTGACTCGATGAGTATAATTTGGTCAAAACCTGTTAAAGAACAATTCACATACAGTATAACAAATGCTGGTATATCAGGACACACAGTTTGAATAGTACGATCAATATACAGTACATAACCTATTAACCTCTTAAATATAACTCGTATGTTACAACTGTTGATACATCAGGACACAGTTTGCATAATATGATCATTGATCAATATATATTTCACAATCACACTCACGTTTTGGGGTCTAGGGTTTGACCAACGAGAGCGAATAATATCTTCCGGGAAACTGTTATTGGCGAGAATCAAGATGTTGCCTTTACAGTAGACGGTGATAGACTGTCCCTCTGTTACAAGCTCCATCTCGCCTTAGTAACATGTGACCGGCGCGCCATTTAACACGTCAGCAAAGTTCGTTGTCAACACTTTTTTTTCCTCTCACTCTCGTCTAGTTTATCTTACTGTGGCCATCCCTCTCCTTTCTCTCTTCTAGTTTATCTTACTGTGGCGGTAACAGTACTAATGTACGTACTTTCTGTTTACAGGACGTCGGCAGTTTTGGGGGGGGAGTACTAGTACAGGTAGTTCTACCAGTGGTGTGCTATCAGATATTAAAAGCCCAATACTAAGTCCTGCCCAGTCACTGGTATCTGTCACAGATAAAGAAGTGGAACTGCTCCTACAAAAGTCTTATGCACCTCCAAAACCCAGTAGGAAAAATAAGAAATCTTCAAGGAAATATCCTCCTGCTGCCGATCAAACTGAAGTTCCTTCACAATCTCAGCCTCCAGAGGTGAAGACTGATTCAAGCTGTGACGGTTTCTTTGAGTTGCTTAATAGTCTTGATTTGGACTTGCCAACACACCCTGCCAAAAAGGAATCAGCAACTGGCACATCATGTGATGATACTGGACTAGAAGTTGTAAATGCAGAACTTGAATCCTGGATGAAAGGATTTGATGTAAAGGATAACACACTCACAGACAGTGTAGAAGACCTTTCCAGTACAGAACCTAACTTGTGTAGTGTTTTGCAACAAACTGTGATTGATTCAAATAATAGAGAACAAGAAAGACATATTCCCAGTCAAAGATCAGCTTTTTCTCAAATAATTACAAGTACAGGGAAAAATGGACTTTGCAATTATAATTATAATGAGGAATTTGCCAGTAATTTAACAGGTAATTCTTCATCAGTAATTGAAGAAATTTTAGATAATCCACAAAGTTTAGTGGAGAAAGGTCAGAAAATTGATAATAATAAAGCTAAGTCATTAGTTTGTGCACCAAATGATTGTGCTAAAGAGGAAGTGTCTGCGTTGTGTGATTCTCAGTTTCTGTCTCCTGCTGCCTCTGCTGCTAGTGATGACAGTGGTTACAATGAAGAGGACGCTAACAAAGGTTCAACTATTACTGTGCCTCAGCTGCAAGAGGAAAGTGCCAAGTTTTCTTCTTGTTCAGGATCTTCTCTTGGGTCATTGGGAGATATAGAAACAAGCGAAAATTTTAAATATAATTTAGTTGCAGAAACTTCATCATATGATAATTTCAAGAGCCTAATGGCATCAGACTTGAAATTATCAGCACCTCAAGATCCCCTTCAATTTAACATTCACCCAGCCATGGTAACAGTTGAAAAAAGTGTAGCTGTTAATGAACAACAAAGCATAGGATCAGAGGCTTTGGACTCTCAAGAAGAAGCTGTATCAATACCAGTTAATGAGCCCACCAACAATGAAGAACTAGCTTTAACTATACCAGAAGGGGAGAGAGAAGCTACTAATGATCCAGGGGAAAAAGAAGCTACTAATGATCCAGGGGAAAAAGAAGCTAATAATGATCCAGGGGAAAAAGAAGCTACTATTGAACCAGGGGGAAAACAAGCTACTAATGATCCAGGGGAAAAAGAAGCTACTATTGAACCAGGGGAGAGAGAAGCTACTAATAATCCAGGGGAGAGAGAAGCTACTAATGATCCGGGGGAAAAAGAAGCTACTATTGAACCAGGGGAGAGAGAAGCTACTATTGAACCAGGGGAGAGAGAAGCTACTAATAATCCAGGGGAGAGAGAAGCTACTAATGATCCAGGGGAAAAAGAAGCTACTAGTGATCCAGGGGAAAAAGAAGCTACTATTGAACCAGGGGAGAGAGAAGCTACTAATAATCCAGGGGAGAGAGAAGCTACTAATGATCCAGGGGAGAGAGAAGCTACTAATGATCCAGACCTTGAAAAGCAAATTGCAGAACATAATCAAGATCTTTCAAGGTTGTGCAATGTAGATGAAGAGGCTCAAAGTATTTATTCAGTGTCAAGAGATGGCGGAACATTGATGATTGAAAGTGGTGCAGATTCAGTTACAGATCTGTCCCAAACATCTGCAATTCATGAGCACAGTGAAGCTATTGTTAGTGAGGCTTCTAGTCATTATGGGCCAACATTACCCTCAGATATAACTGAAAACATAGAAAATAAAGCATCATGTTCAGATCAGTCTTCTGATACTTTATCTCTCTGTTCAGTAGCAAGTTTTAGTGATGAAAATGGAAGTATTAAATCCAAAGGGAGAGGAAGACGTGGCAGAAAAGGTAAAGCACATCAAGGAGGTGTTGGAAATGTTAGCTCGTCTGACTCGAATCAAGAGACCAGTAGAGATAATATGCCAAGGGTAAGGGGTAGTGGTCAAGGCCATGGTAGGGGGTCAGGTAGAGGAAGGGGGAGAGGAAGTGTGAATAACTTAACTGGTTCACAAGAATCACAGCCCAACAAGAGACCAAGGGTTCCTATTGAAATGTCAACCCGCCAAACAAGGCAGCGCACTGGCACCATTGAAGTCCAGGCACCCACATCCTCCAAAAGTCGACAATGCAGCGAGACCACATCAGAAGACAGTTGTGATGGTAAGACAGGACGGGGTCTTTCATCACTCCTACAGGTACCAAGTTGGCAGTTCCTTGAACGGACAAACAGCCAGCATAACGGAAAGTGAGTATTTGTGCATGTTTATTTCATACTGGGGCCTGAAAAAAATTATATCCTGGTTTTCAATAAGTCAAACATCTTTCAAAATAAAAAGGAAATTAATACAAAAAAAGAAATAAATAAAAAATGTAGAACAGTAAAAATCTTCATTTATACTTCTTCCTCCTTAGTCCAGTCTTGTTATAAGGTGTAATTTTGGTTACCTTTGTAATGTCAACCTTTTACCATTAATTATCTCTGGCGTCATATGACCCTGGCTGTTGCAGCGCTGAGATACTGTAGTATTCATAATCATTCATTTATTCTTAATATCATGAATACCAGGATGTAAACTGTTACTGGGGATATAAGGACAAATATAAAGGTTGCACATCATGGCATACCGGGTATTTGTTTTTAGCGTTAGATTGTAAAGAGCTGTATACAATATGAAATGAACCATCTCATTTGGATGGTTACATAAGAAACCCCTCTTATCATAGATTTCATTTTTCCTATACTTTTATCTTTAATTTGATACTTAATTCATTTTGTATCTTCAAATTTAAGGCTCGTTTTGTATTACGGCTGCTGACTGGGTAACTGACATTTTCAGGCCCAGTTTCTAAAGATGGTGTTAATTGGAGACATTCTTAAGTACAAGAGAAATGTTGAATAAGGTCATTTGTAAATAATTCTTAGTACAGATATTTCCTCCAATGTGGGAATTAATAATTGGTAACTGTATTCATAAATTCAGGAATATTGTTGTGATGTTCATATTGACATTTTATTTATTTTTTTCCAATTAGCCTGACCAACCTGAGCTTTCGCAGCCTGCTGAGTGGTGAGTAACAGCTTTAAGTTATTTTACTTATTTTATAGTTATGAATGTGAGTTTACATGCCCCATTTTTGATGTTAGGAAATTCTAAACACGGAATTAATACTTGAATTTTTATTACGGATAACGTACGTATGAGTGGAATTGAGTGAGTGAGGAGGAAAAGATCTGAAAGTGACGTATAAAGTTTACCTTACTGTAGATCTTACGCTCATGGCATTGTGTGGTTATGTGATTTATGCAAACATCAGTTCCTCAGTGTTCAGTACAGTATCAATAATTTCTTAGACCACTACATTATTATATTCATTACACTTATATATTAGGCAGAATCCCGATCTGTATCTACAGTATTTTCTTTCATCTTACAATATTGTACTAAAAAACTTACAATTTTCTCAAATTCCCGCCTAAATCCTTTCAGTTTATTTTCCCTTCTAAGAACTGATTCATTGTTACTCATTCAAGCTATGAATTGCACAACCAGTTCATGGAGAATTCATTAGAGGCTTCCTCTTTTTACCCCTTGACTACTGTACCAGTACTGGACTGTATTCACATTCTGTCGTCCATGTCACACCAATTAATTTGTCGTCTTAGATGTGTTTCTTCCATCCTTATATATTTTGACAAGAATTTGTTTTATTATGTACCCACCATTTTTTACTCATTCAGGAACACTTCATTACTTTGCCTCTTTTATCATTGCCAATGTGGTTCTTTACCCATTTTAGATAGTACCAATTAGATTACAGTACAGTATACTGCTCTCACAGATACTTTTCATAGCTGATTCCAATGTGGCACTGCAGGAAGGATCTGGTACCTTCCTCTCTAGTCTTCCCCAGCCTTATATCAGTGGTCGCACAGGTGAATGAGACAGTTCTCACTGGGGTTGCAAGTAAGACAAATTTGAAGCCAGAGTGCCTAGTTCTTTTACCATATACTGTACTTTTTTGTGATAATCATTGTACTGTATTACATTGTCAGTGTGTTGATTTATATATGAGTATCATTTGCACAATAACGATCCATTAAATTTGAAAGGAATTGATGTAAGCATTTTTCATACTGCATAACCAATAAGGTATTTAGGGTCTTAAAATCTTGAACAGACTCAATTGCTTTCCAGTGGATATATTATGTTGTTCCCCGCCACTGTAATGAAGTGTACATTGATTTAGCAGATTTTTTTTTTTTTTTTTTTTTTTTTTTCCAGAAATGGATTTCAATTACATTTCTTGTAATATATAAATATAAAGCAATGCCAAATGAGTTATAGCCCCTTGGATTTGGCAGTGGTGGGGAACTTCAGACCTTGGTACTGTAGTAAGCACAGCTTTAGATTTGTGCAATTCATGTCATAAAAAAGTGTGGGAGATCAGATTTTATTTTATTTTTTAAAGTTCTTTGAAATGGAATCTCAAGAGAACTTGAGGGGTTGCTTTTTATAGTACAGTAGTAGTAAGAAGACATTTAAAATACTGATTGAAGAACTTTGCCCAAATTTTTATAGTTGGGGAGTCTTTAGTTACCAAAGCTTACACTGAAATGGGAGTCTTTATACCAAAGTATACACTGAAATGGGAGTCTTTATACCAAAGTATACACTGAAATGGGAGTCTTTATACCAAAGTATACACTGAAATGGGAGTCTTTAGTTACCAAAGTATACACTGAAATGGGAGTCTTTATACCAAAGTATACACTGAAATGGGAGTCTTTATACCAAAGCTTACACTGAAATGGGAGTCTTTATACCAAAGTATACACTGAAATGGGAGTCTTTAGTTACCAAAGTATACACTGAAATGGGAGTCTTTGTACCAAAGTATACACTGAAATGAGAGTCTTTATACCAAAGTATACACTGAAATGGGAGTCTTTATACCAAAGTATACACTGAAATGGAGTCTTTAGTTACCAAAGTATACACTGAAATGGGAGTCTTTATACCAAAGTATACACTGAAATGGAGTCTTTAGTTACCAAAGTATACACTGAAATGGGAGTCTTTATACCAAAGTATACACTGAAATGGAAGTCTTTATACCAAAGTATACACTGAAATGGGAGTCTTTATACCAAAGTATACACTGAAATGGGAGTCTTTAGTTACCAAAGTATACACTGAAATGGGAGTCTTTGTACCAAAGTATACACTGAAATGGAAGTCTTTATACGAAGTATACACTGAAATGGGAGTCTTTATACCAAAGTATACACTGAAATGGGAGTCTTTGTACCAAAGTATACACACTGAAATCTTTATACCAAAATACACTGAATGGGAGTCTTTCCAAAGTATACACTGAAATGGGAGTCTTTATACCAAAGTATACACTGAAATGGGAGTCTTTAGTTACCAAAGTATACACTGAAATGGGAGTCTTTGTACCAAAGTATACACTGAAATGAGAGTCTTTATACCAAAGTATACACTGAAATGGGAGTCTTTATACCAAAGTATACACTGAAATGGAAGTCTTTAGTTACCAAAGTATACACTGAAATGGGAGTCTTTGTACCAAAGTATACACTGAAATGAGAGTCTTTATACCAAAGTATACACTGAAATGGGAGTCTTTATACCAAAGTATACACTGAAATGGAAGTCTTTATACCAAAGTATACACTGAAATGGAAGTCTTTATACCAAGTATACACTGAAATGGGAGTCTTTAGTTACCAAAGTATACACTGAAATGGGATTCTTTGTACCAAAGTATACACTGAAATGGAAGTCTTTATACCAAAGTATACACTGAAATGGGAGTCTTTAGTTACCAAAGTATACACTGAAATGGAAGTCTTTATACCAAAGTATACACTGAAATGGGAGTCTTTAGTTACCAAAGTATACACTGAAATGGAAGTCTTTATACCAAAGTATACACTGAAATGGAAGTCTTTATACCAAGTATACACTGAAATGGGAGTCTTTAGTTACCAAAGTATACACTGAAATGGGAGTCTTCAGTTACCAAAGTATACACTGAAATGGATTAATAATTTCAGCCATTTTTTAATTGTGAGTTTTATTATTAAGGTTGTAGAGAGTCACAATCTCTTCTATGTTCCAAATTATTATAATATAGACCATAACCGTGCAGGAAATATTAGACCCATTACTTACCAAATTACTGTATATCTGTTTCAAATTGAGTGTGGCTAATTTGTGTTATATTGACTTTTGGTGAAACCTTGCCCAAAATAGTTTCATAACTATTTACCTCACCCCATGTTAGATTGTAAGAGCCTGATGGGCTAATACTGTACAGTGGTCACAAGTACAAAAGGTGAAGCAGATGGCCTTTCAGGAGTGTTTTGATGATACAGTACATGAGTAAATCATAATGGGATAAAGTACAGAGATCATGGTGTGTGGCACACATAGTAAGCCTTGGTAATATAAACTTGGGTATAGTTGACCTTATGGCTGAAAGAATGTTACACACTATAAAGTATTTGTTTTTTAGTATTTTTATAAGGCCTTTTACATTACAGTACTGTTCTTGCCTTAAGTGTTGGTAATGTGTGGGTTGTCACTTGACCTGCCATAGTAAGCAAAAATCCACCCTGATATATGCTAACAGGGTGTCAGAACCTGATATATGCTAACAGGGTGTCACAGAACCTGGTGCTATATCTTGGGATTTCATAGTAATGGGATGTGTGACTTCTTGTCATAATATGCAGTACAGAGTGCTGTATTAATAATACCTGGTGTCTCAGCATTACTGAGATCTAGTTCCTCCCAGGCATCCTGGAGGTACACATGTTGTTAATTGCTCAAGCGTCCAAGGTGTGTATTAATTGAAAGTTTACTAGATTCTTGTTTGGCTGCCAACTTGGGATAGTAGTCACAGGAAGGTGATAGTAAGGTCAAGGTTGGAAGTCTGGATAGGAAGTTGTATGTTGTGGACAGTGATGAGGTACTCGGGCTTGGCATTGGTAAGAGAGGTAAAGGCAGACTGGGAGTCTTGAGGACAGCTGCATGACAGAAGTGATCTACAGTACAAGGTAACTAAACACCCACGAGGTCACTCACTGGTATTTATTTAGTCATACAGTATATGAAGGCATACTGTGTGCACATTGACTCCTGTCATATACAGTATGGCACATCCACAGCTCATACCTCTTGAATTATCTATCAAGGCATACACAGATAGTTTCAGAAAACAGAGAGAGCTTTAAGTAGGAATAGAAGGGTTTGAGATAGAGGAGGTATTTGGGTGAAGTTGAGGAACTTGAGGATGGCATATACAACCTCCCAGCATTATAAGATGTGGGCAAGGAGGGATGATAGGAGTAGGAATGGTACAGCTGAGGAGTATATAGTAGGAGGTTAGCCTGGCTCTACTGTGTTAGCACAGGATTGGAAAGGCAATATTTATAGTGTAGAGCAGGAGCCAGGTAGAACAATATGAAGTACTTGGTTCATGAGAGCAATACTTGTGAAGCATAGTACTTTATCGTGTTGATAACGGGTGGACGTAGGACAGCCGAGGATGGCTCTCATGACCGTTTTATGTGATATTAAATTTGTAGAGATGCTGATTAGAGACATGAAAAAGGTGTATGGCATAATAGTCAACAAGTTCAGTACCTTGTACAGTATACTGTATCAGGGATAGAATGTCGAAGCTATAGGAACATTGACTCCCAGAGTCTGGTCTTGAAGCAGGAGGTGTACAGCTTGGCCCAGGCAACAGTGGGGACACCCAGGTACCTACAGTTCATACACTGATCAGTGATATTTTATGGACACTGAATGGGTTAGGATTTTTAATGTGCTTATCCTCCTCAACCAGGATTTTGTGAGAACTCTCTGAGTGGGGGTGGGGGGGGATTGTAATCTGTTTGTTGACTTGGGGATCATACGCATATATCATCAACATAACTGAGGACAAGCTTATGTCACAGTTTAAAACCCCTAATGAGCGTATTCAATAAGACAGCCAGTGTGCAGCTAAGTGCCCTACCTGCTGGAGAACTCAA